AATTGAAATAATTTTCCAAAATGATAAAAAATTTAGGGTTTTGCACCAAATTTTAGTGTTTTTCACGACAAAATCAGTTTTTTGATGTGGTTTTCAACAAATTGATAATTTTTTGCTCTTATGCAAATATAATTTTAATAATAATAATTTTTGCTCTTTTACATTCGGTTTTTCACATTTGCAACACCTTGTAATAAATTTTTTTTTTTAAATATAGTAAAAACAAAAATAAAAACATTTTTCCAAAGTGAAAAAGTCAATTTTCAGGCTTTGCCAAAAATTCAAATTTCAGTTTCCTGATGTGGGTCTTCGACCGCTGGAGCCCTTACAGCTACCAAAACAACCGCGAAAAATACAAAGACGACGAAGAAAAACGCGAATTCAACCTCAAAGAGTGTTTATGGTTTTGTATGACRTCCCTYACCCCCCAAGGCGGGGGCGAAGCCCCCAAAAACCTCTCAGGCCGCTTGGTCGCCGCCACTTGGTGGCTCTTCGGTTTCATCATAATCGCCTCATACACTGCAAACCTCGCCGCTTTTTTGACCGTCTCCCGTTTGGACACCCCAATCGAGTCCTTGGACGACTTATCCAAACAGTATAAGATCCAATACGCCCCCTTAAATGGCTCCTCAACAATGACCTATTTCGAACGAATGGCAAACATCGAAGCGAAATTTTACGAGTATTTTCAGTATTTTCCCTCTTCRAGATTGGTTATTCGTGTTTTTCAGGATTTGGAAAGACATGAGTTTGAATGACAGTCTTTCMGAAGTGGAGAGGGCGAAATTGGCGGTTTGGGATTATCCAGTCAGTGACAAATACACGAAAATGTGGCAAGCCATGAAAGAGGCTGGTCTACCAAACACTCTAGACGAGGCTGTGAAACGGGTGAGGGATTCGAGGTCTTCGAGCGAAGGCTTCGCCTATTTGGGGGACGCCACTGATATCAGATACCTCGAAATCACCAGTTGTGACCTCCAAATGGTCGGTGAGGAGTTCTCCAGGAAGCCATACGCGATAGCTGTCCAACAAGGCTCTCCCTTGAAAGACCAATTCAACACTGCAATCCTCCAYTTGCTCAATCGGCGCGAACTTGAAAGATTGAAAGAGAAATGGTGGAGTAAGAATCCAGAAGCAATGAAATGTGATAAACAAGAAGACCAATCCGATGGAATTAGCATTCAGAATATTGG